GCATCAGATGTGTCACTGTAACATTATTAGCAATGCACTGTTGTGTATCTGTTTTTTGTTTTGATATGCAGAGTAGCTACAGCTGTCAATTAGAAGTAGAAGTAGGGTAAATATTTACCTCCACTTTATTAGGGCAGAAGTAAGGTAGAAATATGCAAATCCAGAAATATCTGACATTATTATAGATCACACAGTGAGCTGGGGTCCTGCTGCTGCATTGCGAGTCCCACCACAGTCGGATTAGCTGTTAACTTGCCTTGTCTTTAAATAAAGTTTTAAACACACAGTGAAATAGATTATTTTCCTGTGTCCATGTTTTCAATGTTCTTTTATCACTTCATATACAGGTACTGCACAAACTGTGGGCACTTTAGACGTTTAGATTCTCATCAGTCACACAGTAACTGTCCCTAATTCATCCTGCAAAACGACTGAGCCCAAACATCCAGCTGCAGTCATAAGTAACTTCCTGCAACAGATGGTCTGGCCCTCAGAGCCCTGGTCTCATCTGCATTCACATCATCCAAAAACCACGTTCCTCATTCCTACTGTGAACTCAATATAAAGTGACACTAAATCACTATATAATCACTATTAGAGGCTCTTCAAGCATTTAAAAGTCTGATCATTTCAGCAGTGTTTCTAAAATGCTAGGCCAAGCTGAGACCAAAGGTCAAACTGCGACCTGCTGACATCGGGCCCTGAGCGCAGACATGGAAAAGGCCCCAACTCTGCTACACATCTAGGAGCAAGAGTCTCAGATTGAGCAAGTATGTGATTTGTAGTCAGTTTGTGTCTTCTTGTAGTTGTTGTGCTTATGTTTTTAGCCATTTTGGTTCCATTTTTACTGTTTTACAAGTACTTCTTTTCTTGTTTTGTGTCTTTTTGTAGTTGTTTTGCTTATATTTATAGTGATTCTACAGTTTTTAGGGTCATTTTTTGTCTCTTTTTAGTGGCTTCATATCTCTTTGTAGCTGTTTTGATCTATTTTTTCAAATTTGTGGCTTTTGTACTTGTTTTGTAGACATTTGATTGACTTGCCAACACAAAGGTTGGCATTTCCTTCACACTTCTCTGGCCCCCTGTGCTCGGTAGGCCTGTTCTGCTGAGTCTGAACTGTCACCACCTTGTAAAACCAGTGAGCCCCTCAACTAGGAGAGGCGGAGTCCTGTGCAGACAAAGTAACAGTCATAGCAGGGGACGACTGCAGACACAGAGGGAACACTGTGCAAACGAAACCTCTGCAGCCTCAAGAGTCATGATGGAGCTCTATCTCGACCTGCTTTCTTCACCCTGCCGCTCCGTATTCCTGTTTCCCAAAGTTGTCGGGATTCCCTTTGAGTTTAAGCATGTCGACCTGCTTTCAGGTAATCCCGCCCCACAAGGCACAGGCCAGGGAGGACACAGAATCCACACAGAGCTGGTTTGCGTTTTATTTGGTTTTCTTACGGTTTTGCACTTGTAGTTCACATTCTGCCTTAAAATATTCAGCTGTTAATTTCTGAGCCTTTCACATAAAGTTTTAACTCAGATGTTTGTAAAGTTGAATGACCCACAAACTTTGAAACTGTCGAGTCAGCTCCAGTTTCACAAATCTGCGTAGTCGTTTTTGACTTATTTGTTACCGTTTGTTTGTATTTGGTATAAGATAGATTAGTTATATTGTAGGGTCACGTGGGGACGTTGTAACAAGGAACAGCTGCAATGGAGACTTTTTGCTCTAGTCAGAAATGTGCTGCAACCATGAAGCTCGTTGCATGTCTAGTTAGCTCCTCACCCACAGCTGGAAAACAGCTGCTAAGTGTGGGCTTTCCTTCTGGACCTGGTGGGCGGCCTTCTGCCTCGACCTGTTGGTGTGAGTGGATAGAAGAGAAAGGCAGCAGCAACAACAATCAAACAAACAAACACTGGGCAGATTGATGTGGCTGCTCATCAGAAAGGTAGAGCTCCAGGGCTACCTACAAAGAGAGAGAGAGAGAGGACACTATGGGAGAGAGGAGACACCGTTAGTGACAGGTAGTGGTGGCATATAGATGGATGGAGAGGGGGGGCATCATGGGCCATGAGTGTATTTTTAACATAGTAAAACTGTGTCAGTGTAGTTTACATAAGAGTAACTGAGCAAAGTGCTGAAACTGTTGCAACCATCCCCACTTTACCCTACTTGACTTTAACTCTGTAGACACATTTTGCAAGTTTTAGAGGTGAACGCCCTGCAGGTTTGAACTATGTAAGCTTGACTTTGTATTTTCACATTTCACACAGAGAGCTGGCAGTGACAGGAGTAGTTAAGTTTTACAAGCTGTGGGTGGGATGTTGTAGGTCAAAGGTTGAGGTATGTAGGTACTACATTGTGTCCCAGAGGTGAATGAGTGTAACAGAGATATAAAGGAAAGAGAAGTGTTTCAGTGCAGGCTAGAAGGAAAAGGGGAGAGAGTTTTTAAAAAACACCGTAGTTTGTTTAATCTTCTGATCATGAGATGTTATTCATCTCTCTCTCCCCAAATGTTAGAACATTTTCACTATTACGTGCCACTGTTTGTTTGCATGGCAACATAAGCTCACTGTTTTTAACACACACATTTGTGTTTTACATTTGTCTCAGGGCAGCAGCACAGCGAGGAGTTTGGAAAAATCAGCATAGTTAGGAAGGTTCCTGTCATGAAGGATGGAAGCTTCATCCTGACAGAAAGGTACAACGATGGTCTGGGTTCAGGATTGACTTACATCTACAAATAATTAGTAATTCAGACTGCTGTAGTTACAAAGTCACTTTGCTCCTCTTGTTTTCTTCATCCCATCTGTGTCGCAGCACCGCGATCCTGCAGTATCTGGCTCAGAAATACTCCTCGTCAGTGGCAGATCACTGGTATCCGGCCGACCTGCAGCAGAGAGCTCGTGTTGATGAATACCTGTCCTGGCAGCACATGAACCTGAGAGCGCACGGGACAAAGGTCTTGCTGTTGAAGGTACGTGTCCCTGGTCACCTGACCTACTTCAGTACACACATTTCAACTCTTCAGACAGTTTTTTATTTATTTTGAGTCTCTGAATTGTTTAGCTATGTGATCATTTATACTCTCCTTCCACTAGTGCTACTGTTATGTGATGACATTCGCATCAGTCTCAGCTGCACTGACGTCCTTTCACAAGATTAAAATTTTGACCTGGTAATGGAACACACACAAAAAAAAGTATTCACCAAGGTTATTACAATGAAACCAAAAGTGGACATGAAGGTGTGTGAATCCAAAATGACAAATCAAGTTATCACCTGTAGCTGTCATCTGAGAACAGCTGCTACCACTACACAGACTACTGCTGCTGGTACTACCAGGGGCTCCCTGATCTCTGTGTGTCTCTGAGCAGTTTATGTACCCTCTCGTCATGGACTCTGAGCCCCCGAAGGAGAAGGTGGACGCTGCTGTCGAGGATCTGAACCAGTCGCTCAAATTGCTGGAGGAGAAATTCCTGCAGAGCAAGTCGTTCATCATCGGAGAGCAGATCTCTCTGGCCGACCTGGTGGCTATAGTTGCACTCATGCAGGTAATACTACTGCTGTTTGTACTACTACTGCTTCTGGTAAGTAAACATTTTATAGTACTTGTCAAAGCTTGAGTTGTTGGATACTACAGCTACTACTGCAGAAGTTCTACTTTGTCTATAAGTACGATTGCATCCTAATTCCACAGGAAATGTTTTTTATTCTTGTTGAAATGTTTTTATCGCTGTATACACAAAACACCAGTATTTCTATAAATATAATCAATGTAATGTTTAACCTATAACCTTAAAATGTCAGATTTTACACATGAAATTCAGTTGGCTAGTCATGAGGTGTACTGCTCTGCCTGTGAAAGGCTGTTTTCTGAGGATCCCAAAGTTTGCATTGCTTTATGGGAAATATAGGCTCTAGTATATTTGGAATTTGGACCCATGGCAGTGATTTAGTGGTATGACTCAGATGGTGGTGCTTTTCTACACATTGAAGCGCATCCAAAGCACTTCATCTGCCTGCTCACCCATTCACATGCACACACATCCTTGCAGTTGTCACTTATAGGGTCCGTGCATAGACTTGCATTCATTACCCTGACCTTACCCTGAACCGCCCGGTGATGGCATTTCTGCCTTTATTGGACAGTTTACATTGTAGATCTGGACAGGGAGCTCTGTGGGGGAGAGACAGATGTTTGACATGGAGTAAAGGTCTGCAGCTGGAACTGTGTTTACCCCAGGCTATAAATATGTTTATGGAAATTAGTTATAGGTACAGCCCAGAATTAAAACCACTGAGGGAGCTCAGACCTATTTTATTTGTAGTAAACATATACAGTATATGGTGAATGCCATTCTTTTGGTCTGAGAACATTCTGAAGACCCCATGAGGGATCCTGATGCCTAGATTGAGAAGTTTTCCTTTAGCTTTCTCGTGTACATGGAAGTGTAAGTCTATTCATGGTACTGCAGTATTATCTGTTGAAGAAAATGTGTATTCAGGTTTTGTTTGCTGTGTGTTTCGCAGCCTATTGGAGCTGGCATGGATGTGCTCGAAGGCCGGCCGAAGCTGATCGCCTGGAGAGATCGAGTGGAGCAGGCGCTCGGTAAGGAGCTGTTTGATGAAACCCATGAGAAGATCATGAAGATTAGCAGCCTGAAGTCGACACTGACGAGCAAGCCTGGGCTGGCGTTGATGAAAGAAATGTTCCTGAAACAGTTCCGCTGAGGAGGTGTCTGTGCTCGGTGATAATCCGACTGTGATGGACTCAGACATCATCTTTTCTAACTTCATTTCTGATCTTATTGCCTTAATTCCTATGGATGTTTGTCACGAAGTGCTGAGAAATAATTCAACCATTTTCCAGGTTTTAAAATGTTGCAGGTGTTGAAATGTTTGCAGCTGTGCACCCACACTGTGTAAAAATTCTTAAATGTGCATCTGATGTCATGGTCCAGCTACATTCTGATTAAAGTGAAATTCTGAACCGAAGTTTGCTTCTAAACTTTTTCAGCTAGAAATATTCACTTCACAGCAGCAGCTCACTGTATAGTAGAGATGGCCTCCTACATGTCTGTGTCCCTTGTCTCATAATCCCTCCATGACAGTACTAGTACACTACTAAATCCTACAAGACTCGTCGACTAGCATGTAACGTGTTAACTCAGTCTGCAATAACAGTAGTAGAGTGAAAGGCACAGTATTTCTTCTGAAATGTGGTGGCAGCAAGTAGAAGTTGAGCAGAACTGTAGTGAAGTAAAGTACTTGAACACATGTCACATTCCAGTGGTGCATACACGGCTGTTGCAGAGACTGAGTGGTCGTCATTGTCTCTGGGTACAGCCTGTCCGATCCGTGAACAACAAGCTCTTTATCTGGAAGAAAAGCTGAAAAAATGGAAATGGAGCAACAAATTCTTGGTTCTGTTTCCAAAGCAGGATTTAGTTTTTTACAATATGGGTAAATATTCAGAGTGGCAGATGATATTACCAGTTTATCTATGCATAGACGGTGAGAAAATAATTTCAAAGTCTGAGCTGATCCAGGTCTCAGTGACTGAGTCAACGCTGCCACCTAGAGCTCATGGTGTCTGCCTGGAGGGTGAAGTAAAACCACTGACACAAAAGCCTTACACGGGAATAAAGGCCTTAAATCGAAGTTGTAAGACTTAAATGTTTTCTTCTTGTCTGCTGTTCCTCTCAGTGGTGGAAGAACATGTACTTAAGTACATTCCTTTTTCTTCTTTACACATTCTGTTTATTTTATTGTTCTCTCTGTCTTATCTTGTCTGGTGTATTAGGCGACCCCTTCGGGGAACTCGACCCGCAGGTTGGTTTATTAAACTACACTCACTGTACTTAAAGCGGTTAAAGTAGCTACAGCAGTAAAATGCTGCTAACACACTTGTGCATCAGTGGGTCATTGTTACTTATAATAATATGAGTCACAAAACAAGTAGCCTACTTTTACTTTTATTAAACGCAGGTGCTAATACTAGTGTACTTTTTATATGCGGGACTTTTCCTTGGAGTGTTTACTGTTGTTGGTACTGAAGTGATGGGAGTGAGAGCAGCTGCGGGAGTCTGGACATGTGACCCTCCGCACAGGAAGAAGAGTCAAGTAATGAGTCAGAGTCCCAGTCCCAGTCCACATCAGTCTCTGACGCCTCCTGCACCCAGATAGTAGCAGCATGCCTTGCGGCGCCGTGCTCGGCCTATGTCAGTATGAAACCAACAAGCTGGTCCGGATCCAGAGCGTCCGGCTCGGCTCTCTGAAGTGGAGCCTGAACGCAGCCATCCTGCTGTTTATCTGGTGAGTGGACGTGCGGGGTTTCAGCCTATCTGCGCTGCAGGCTCGGGGAGCGGCCGGCATGGCTCACCGTCACAAGTCCCGTTAGAGCGGGATACAACCGGATAGAGAGGGCTGTAGCCAAAAACCTATTGACCGATCGTTGATAAGGCGGTTTGTGGTGTTTGAATGAATGTGAATATGTGACGTATTTAAAAAAAAACTAAAAGGTTTCATCTGAACCAGCCGTGAAATACATAGGCTACTCGGATCCTTCACTGAAGGAGCCTAAAAGTAGAAATGCCACAAGTCTTGCTTTAAAATGTTGCTTTTGTAAAGACACAAAAGTGTTAGAATTAATACAGGAGCAAAAGTAGAAGTCATTCAGTGGAATATGGCGCAGTTCATGTTAATGTACATCGGTTTATTGGATTACAGTGGTGGATGCGTTATAGTGTTAATCACTTTCATGTTGCACCTGGTAAAGGTGGAGTTAATGTACTTTACATCCTGCTGGGTAGCTGCTGAATTTCCCACCAATGAAGTCTGATGATTCTGCTGTGTTTGGTTTGATTTATCTGGTTCTGAAAAGGAACTAAAGCCATGTAGTGCAGTAAAAGAACATGAAAATTCTCAGGTAAAGTAGAGATACATCAACTGTAACTGTAATTAAGTACATTACTTGAGTAGATGAATCCCCCTCAGTTTTCACAGGTTGACTCACACTCCACCTGTGCTGCTAATAAACTGATATTAGTGTGTAAAATTGGAGGAATTTTCATGAAACTGTTTGTTTTTTGTTGCTTATCTTGCAGCATCATGATGCTGTGGAACAGGAACTACCAGGAATTTGACCTGGTCGTCAGCTCTGTCACCACCAAGGTGAAGGGTGTCACTCAGACACATGTGCCCAGTGTCGGGGACACGGTCTGGGATGTGGTGGACTACAGCGGGTCCTTGCAGGTGAGAGCTGGCTTGACTGTGACAGTTCTTTGTGTTTCTCCAAGAAGACAGTTTCTGTACATGTCTTTTTTTCTTTTTAGGACAAAAACTCCTTCTTTGTGGTGACCAACATCATTGTGACAAAGAGTCAGAAGCAGGGAAGATGCCCAGAGGTGCTCTTTCTTTATTAGTAATAGTAATTTAACTATCATTAATATTCATCTCGTTTTAAGCAGTTAAAGTAATGTAATGTAATGTAAGTTCATGATGACCACCCAAAGCTGTTAGTACTATACAGTAGGATGGCTCCAACCTTTCCTATTTCATAGCAGTGTTTATATTGCAGGTTCCACTTAATGGCAGATTGTGTCGGACTGATACAGACTGTGAGAAAGGAGCCTGGGGCCAGCAGAGCCACGGTACACAGACTTCTGTTATTAGACCTGGTTTAGCACTAGAATGCAGCTGTTGGCTCCAGCTAGCGTATTAAATGTCTTTTAGCTTTAATGCATTAGTTGATCATTAAAGGCTGAGTGGTTACAGAATGTACAGAATATGACTACTGTGAGTCTTTCTTCAAATCTGAGGAAAAGATTAAATAAACCACCAATGGATGGATTGTGTGTGTGTGTATCCAAAACCCGATATAACTAAAAGGAACATTTTCTTAAAACTGCATTAGCTAAGATTTTCCACATTGTCTGATAACCCCGGTGACAGTGGGAGAGAACGTGGTGTCTCCCAGCTATACCCCCCTCCATGACCCTCTGCTGCCTACAGCCGCCTGTTGTTATTCCAGCTTCTCCACCCTGTGTTGTCAAAGTACGGTCTGTAAATCTGCTGCCTAGCCAAGGTTAGAAGAAGGGTTTTTCCAGCCAGTAGTCATGTCAAACAGCCATGGAGGCGCTGTGGGCAGCTAAAAGTCTGAACCAGCGGCTGCCAGAGTGAAGAGGTGGCGTCTTTAGCACAGAGAGAGTGGGACAAAGAAAGAGCAACAACCAGGGTTAACATGGGTTTGGCTGTTTGACATGGAGAGGGTTAAAAGCAGCCAGAGGACTCAGACTGGATCCAGATGTGGCCTTCTTCCTTCTGGATGTGTTAGCATTTAAAGCTAACCTGCTTGGTTTGGTAGCATTAGCCACCTAGCATGGTCAGGATTTTACCTTTGTGTTGAATTAATATGACTTTAATTTGGGGGGAATTCAAGGTTTGTGTAACATGAGTGCTTTGTTGGTCTCGTTCGAGACTGTGTCATCAACCTTGTCACTTGACATTGAGCTGGTACCTTTGAGCTGGCGCTCATTCGTCAGCTAATGGTAGCTTCAGTGGTGATTGTGTTTTATAACGTTTGCCCCAACTAGGCTTCTGTAGTTTACATGGTTGCTAGGAAACAAGACATCAGTTTGTTTTGAGTTTGACTAGACCCTGTCGGCTGAAAAGAAATGAGTTAATGAGCCTTTAGTCAGCTCATTATCACGAGAAGTGTTTTACAGGAGCTCCAGATTTTCTGTTAATTACCTTAATTTTTAGTCATTTAGTCATTTAGTCAGTATTTAATGTTACGGAGAATTGCTGGATTTCAAATCAGGTGTTCAGGAGCTTTAAAAGACTTTATTATCCAGAAATTCTGTGAAATGACGTCACTGAACCAGATTAGATCTTTCATTTTCTGAGAGCAGAGGGTTTCACACCAATGACAACACAGTCTGAACAAAGTGAAGCTGCCTGTTTTAGCTTGCTGACAACTGTTTGCACAAGAAGCAGAGGAAGTTGCTCTTTTAGCTTCAGCTGTAGTAGTTCTCTCAGCTCTGTGGGTCACACATCAGCAGCTGCAGGAACCAAACCTGCGGCTCCTCAGACTCTGTTATGCAAGGACTGTTTGTTTTTCTCTCGTAGGGATTCAGACGGGATCATGTGTGAAGTTTGATGCATTGAGGAAAACCTGCGAGGTGTCTGCGTGGTGTCCGATAGAAACCAAGACAACCCCTCCTAGGTAAATCAGATCAGGACTTTGTCAGGAAGGCACATGCTGTCAAGCATCAATAGGCAAGCTGGTGGACTCTTGCTCTATGTCAGTATGTGGCCAAAACAACATTTTTTGGGTCCTGAGTTAAAAATTTGTGCATGTTTTTGATGGGTTACCATGACGATTGGTATGTTCTTACTCAGAGGAGTTGTCCTCCCTTGTGGTTTTCACTTTGCATGTTTACATCCCATCATAGATATAAACACAGATTCCTCATTAGCTGCAGCTATTAATTGCAGAGATGCAGCAGCATAGCCGCCATGTTTGTACAGGGCTGTGGCCCATTTTAACGTGTGGAGTCAGGAGGTATAGCCACAGGAGTCACTGTGGTTTGTTACAAATGCCAAAAAAAAGGATACTTGGTCGAATTTAAAAATGTTCATTTTAATACCAAAACATCTTCTATAGAGAGTACCAGAAGTATTTATATAATGTGGGCTAATATTTAAGATGAACTTACCTGGATTAGTTTCTTAGTCTTTTGTAATATGCTGCCTTGATAAATTTGGTATTAATTTTGGAAATAAAAGCAGACTAAAATATATTTTTTCAGTTTTTAAATTCCATTTGTAGAGAAATTAATTTTTAATCTTCACATTTTACCTTTATTTCACATTATAGCAGTGAACAAAGTTTAATTTAACAGTAAAATAAATATGGTTAAATCATCTGTGAGATGGTGTTTGTAGCTTGGTTTTGACTTTGCTTTCATCAAACATCCAGAAGCAGCAGCACGTCTGGAGTTTTCTGCTGTTTGAACTGGAACCTGCAGCAACATGGCTGCGGCAGGGACGCATCTCACAAGCAGGATGTGGCATCTACATGTTTATATCTATGACATCCTAGCATGTTAAATGTGAGTCGGGTTACACCTGACAATTTCTTCAGACCAACCTACACCACAGGCCTGTTGTACCCGGTACTTTTAACCACGCTAACTCTGAGAGACGAAGCAGCCCAAGTAACTTCAAAACAGTGTTGATTTATTCAATGAACACAGGTAAAAATTAGCATTACACGCTCAGGTATCTTGCACCTCCAACATGCACGCAGGCAGCTGAAAGATGAAAGACCCTGAACCACAACAGGCCTATACATTATATCACTTCGGGCTAACCTCATAATACAAGGAGAGACGCCAAACCGTGACGTCTCCCGGTGCCAGCTTTGCAGCTGACCAGAGCAGTAGTCAAAGCATGAATAAAATCAATGTGTGATTGTCTGTTGATTATGTGGTGTGTAGCTAAAACATTCTAACACGACCTCTAGTGACGTGTCATGACATTAAACATAAGAAAATATTATGGCTATGGCTACAGTTATACACGTCATAATAATAATATTAAACATCCTGTCTTCTAACAGTCATCAACTTTCTATCTAGTTATCCTTGACCATAAACAACCTGCAGCAACTCATGAGAATGCCTAAGCATTTAACAGTCTAACTAGACATCCTGTCTACTCTAAACATTTCTATTACATCAAGTATCTAACGAATATCTATCTGACTAAAAATACCTAACAGACCCGTGCCTCCATTTTCCTGCTGGTGTTCTGGTGTGTGGTGATCATTACAGCCTCACTGTGCTGCTGTTGTGGTTGCAAGCTTTCAGTTATGTTAAGATGGTTAGTGTAGTTACTGTAGACTAGAGGATGCATTTGGCTTTTCCTTATGTTTGACTTTTCCACAATGCAGGCCTGCTCTGCTGGCGGCAGCTGAGAACTTCACAGTCCTCATCAAAAACAACATCAGATTCCCTGCGTTCAACTTCATCCGGTGAGATTGCTACACGTCGATTCTCTGCACTTTCCTAACATGAAGCAGCACAGCCGGGGATTTCACATCAGAAAAATCTGCTTTATGAAGTCATGCTCATGTAGTAATGCAGTTGTGAAAAGAGGCCCTTCAGAGAACAGTGTCTAAGGCTCTGCAGCTCTTTAGGACAAAGACTGCATCACCTTCCTAGAATGTTGTTTGTTCTGTGTTACAGAAGGAACATCCTCCCGTGGATGGACGGCGCCTACCTGAGCAGGTGTCATAGAGGAAACGACTCACTGTGTCCAATCTTCAGACTGGGAGACATTGTCCGCGAGGCCGGGGAAAAGTTCTCTGACATGGCGATAGAGGTGGGATTACACATCTCTAACAGACAGACTCTATGTTTACACTTCTGTCAATAAAATAACATTGACTGAGTGACCTTTTGCTGAAATCTTGCAATGCAGCCACTTGTTGTCAAAAGAAAGGCACTAATCAAACTCCTAATGCAGATGGATGCATGATATGACCTTTTTAAACTTCCCACTGGACTTTAAACTGGGTCTAACAGAGACACTGCAGCAGGAGCTAGTCTCTGGAGAAGTGTCCCTTGCCAACAGGAAATTAACTCTTTAACACTTATCTTGTGGGTTTCCCTTCGCCTCTTGATAAAAATAGTAATATAAAAGTTGTCTGCCAAAAAAGGAAGTGTACCACAACAAACTAGCAGTTTGTGTGGATGAAAGTGGAGAAGCAGCACTGTCGCCTTCAGACTCCATGTCTAAATACAGTTGTGCCTACCAGTGTGGATGAAAGTGGAGAAGCAGCACTTTAGCACAGTCTTTGAGCTTTCATTTCCCAAAAACAATGCTTCACTTCTGTTATGACAAACAGCTGATGTTTCCTCACTATACAAATTTTTATCAAATCATCTTTGTCTCAGTGCTTCATTCGTTTTCTTAAAACACATCAAAAATCTCCTTTGTGCTGTCAGAATATTTCACCCACTTTACAGAAAATCAGCTTGTTTCACATATTTTATAAAATCAGGTTTGTTTTTTCCTCCTTATTCTTTCTCATTTCAAGTCTGTACATCATCATGTGAAATGGATTGAGGATGGATCATAACTCATCTAACGAGTTGTTTCTTTTTTTAAGCCCATTTTATTAATGGACACTCTTCTCCCATATCCCATGATCCTTTGTGTCAGTAGGGGAAAGAGGAAAAATGGCGTACTAAATGAAAGGCTGCTTTATTTCCTCACATTTCACTGGAGACGCCTACTTGGATTTTATCACTGTCCGAGATGTCGTTCATATACACACCAAGGAACAGAGGGCAGTCAGCGGCACGGGCCCCAGCGTGGAGCGGTGCTCACACACGCCATCTGTAGAACGGCCTCTGTCAGCACATCCAGCGGTGTTTATAAATACTACCTGGTGATATTAAATGGGTATAAATCACACAACAGCGTAAAGAAGCAGATGAATTATGACCCCTTTGACCTTTGATAGAGAAATCTCAGAAACTCACGTTCCTCTGAGCTCATTCATCCCTTATGTTTAATTTGAAGTTATCACATGCACACAATTTCAAGTCCTGTGTTGAAAATGCAGCTAAATTAAAAGTATTTCTGGTAAAATGTAGTGAAAGTATCTCACTAGATGAGTGTTATAGTAATAAATGCCATATTATTGCAGTATTACTGAAGCATTATCTATAATGTCGTATTTTACTGTTGAAGCTGTGGAGTTTGTAGATTCTTGGGTAGTTTAATCTTCAACTTTATAATATGTTATATTCTTTTGTCATATTTATATAATGTGCAAAGTTACTTCAGCTGTGAAATAGATGCAGTGATATAAAAAGCACCATACAAACACTGTAGGCTCCTGAATGAGGTAGAATATTCGTTAATGCACTTTCACAGATTACAGTGCTATCTATAATGTCGTATTTTACTGTTGAAGCTGTGGAGTTTGTAGATTCTTGGGTAGTTTAATCTTCAACTTTATAATATGTTATATTCTTTTGTCATATTTATATAATGTGCAAAGTTACTTCAGCTGTGAAATAGATGCAGTGATATAAAAAGCACCATACAAACACTGTAGGCTCCTGAATGAGGTAGAATATTCGTTAATGCACTTTCACAGATTACAGTGCAGTGCAGTATTTCCCTCTGAAATGTAGTATAAGTATAAGATGACATAAAATATGTAAATTTACTGAGTTCCACATTTTCTGTGGAACCACATGCTCTTTCGAAGGTTTACGGAGTTATTTGGAATAATTTGGAGCCTATTCCTGTTTAGCACATCTACAGATGTAAAAAGTATTGTCCTGTGTGTTTGTGGTCATCCATTTCCACTGTCAACCACAGGGAGGCGTCATTGGCATTCAGATCAAATGGGACTGCAACCTGGACCGGCTCATGCAGCGCTGCTCACCCACCTACTCCTTCAGACGGCTGGATGAGAAGGAGAGCAACAGGACGTTGTACCCCGGCCTCAACTTCAGGTCAGCCAGTCACCAGGCTCCACGTGGAGCGTGCTTTATTTCTCACAGTTATTATCTAGTGTTAAGTCATATCACAACCTCCCAACATTTTTGGCACATTTACAATGAGGAGCTCTGACTTATTGTTTACTGAAACCACAGTTTTCTAAATCACTTTTTATTATTTTTACTGACCAACATGAGAACTCTAGACACACAGACAGGTGGTAAATGGTTGTAGTGTGACTAATATGTACAGTATGTCTGTATGTCCTGCACATACGGTGAATTGACAATAAAATCCTTGAACCCAATAGTTCCAGAAGCTGATAATAATATTATTATAGGTAGCATCTTAAATTGTTTGTTTTTATGTCCATGAATTTACACAGGTAGGGCTTTAGTGTTTCCCCAAACTTTATGGAAATTTGTGGCATAAAAAAGAAACCAAAACACAAGTTTTCAAGTGATGTTTGCAGGAGCTGTTTTCAGAGAAGCTTCTCTAAAAAGCCACTGTTACTACAGACACAGTTAGCGACTAGCGCGTGAACCTAGTGGAGCATTTAGCAGCTAAAGATTCAGAGATTTCACTCCAGAGCTGGTGGAGGCCAAACACAGAGCTGAAAGGACTTGGTCATCAAGTGGATGCAGGCACGACTCCAAACCACAGCTAACGTTGCTCCACAGCTGCTGATGTGTGAGTAAGCAACAAAAGAGTAAATCAAGGCTTGAGTCTGTGTTTGAGGTTTGAGGTAAATAACCCTGCTTCGTGTTAGAGGCTTTTGTTTCATATCCTGCTGTGAGCTGCAGTGTTTTTGTTATAAATTGTGCCTGCTATCTTCTGATCAGGTACGCAAAGTACAACACCGTGAACGGAGTGGAGGAGCGAACGCTGTATAAAGCATTTGGCATCAGGTTTGATGTCATGGTGTTTGGACAGGTGGGTGCAACTGTTCCCCCTTTCTGTCTTTTAGTTTCATGGTGCTGACAGTTTATTATGTTAGGGATTCTTTGTGTGACTCGCACAGTTTTCATTTCATATGTTTTCCTGTCTTTTCTTTCACCTAAACTCTGTGTTAGACTGTGGAAGGAGGAGATGCAGAGCTGTACTGACATCTGGGTGCACTTTGTATTCAAATGTGCAATACCAAAATGTAATCAGAGTTGTTTAATGTTGAAATAACGATGTTAAAGTTGTCACCGGCCTGCATCGTCGGAGGAGAAATGTGGTGAATAAAAGCAAATGAGTGATAGTTTCTGTGTTTTCCAGGCAGGAAGGTTCAGCTTCATCCAGCTCGTCATCTACATCGGATCGACGCTGTCATACTACGCTCTGGTGAGAGACCACACAGTGTTCGTTCACACATCTCTTCCATTAGTGCTGAACACAGTGTCGGAGTTTGAGTCCACAGTGGGACTTCTGGACAAACTGAATGAATTGGACCATGAATATTCATTCATTCAGACTTTGAGCTAAATAAACTCAGAGACTAGAGCTGTGGGATACAGAGGTTTGGTTTAAGAATCCTAATATTTTCTCAGAGGAATTAAGGACTGTGCCTGGAACAGAAAAGAGTCCTTCGCCACCCCGCTGACTGACTGGGGTGCTTCTCATTTGTCTCCTTGTGCCCCCGACTTGAGTTTTATCTGTGAGAGATGCAAGGAATTAAGGAAATGAAACGTCCTGTTCTTCAATCTAATACCTGAAGCACCATCAGTTTCTGATGACGATGTCATAGCTGCATCAGCTGTTCGTCTGCAGGTGTTGGGGTCACTGGAATGGACTTTGTATAGTCATAGATAATGAGTTCCAGTATAAAACTGTGGTGATGTGGTGTCACATCAGTCTGATCACCAACAGAATCCTAATGAAGTGTTTGTGCTGATTCCAGTAAAATACTGTTGTCCTCTCTCAAGCCTTCAGGCAGCCTTCTCGCTGCTTGTTCAAAATAAGGTCACGAGAGCACTCTTAGTGTTTCTTTGGAGGCATTAGACATGACCACAGGATGAGTGCTGAGAATGTGTGGGGTGTCCTGTGGATAAGGTGGGAGCTGCTGTGGTCACATGACTGAGCGTCTCAGGTGAAACTATTTTCCTCCAGACGACTGTGCTGCTGGACTGGCTCATTGGAACAAGATGTTACTCTGCAGAGGTCGGACAAAGCTACACTGAGAGGAAAGTGGAGTCAGTCCAAGATGAACACAAGGTGATGAACAGTTTTATATGACCAATAATGCACTGTAGCTGTAAACAAACTGTTTCTAATACAGTTTCAAATCGATGTGACTGTGTTGCAGTGCATCCTCTGTGTGTCCTACGTTGATGAGAACAACATTCGACTGGTGAAGAGATCACAGAAGAAAAGTTTACGAGACATCAAACCGGTGTCTGTTCAGCCACGTAAGGTAAGCCTGTGGAGGAGAGATGTAGACAGGAGATGAGATGGTGGCATGTCTCATTTTTGTTTTACAAATGAAGTAAAATGAACCACAGACTGTTTAAAAGATGGACAACTCCCAGAATTGCTTTAGCTGTCTCATTGATTTCAGTGCTCTGTCCCTGTCCCAACAGGAGGACGCAGGACATCTGAGAGCTGTTCTCTGTCTGCTACAGCTGACTGGCAGTCTGGATCATGATGCTGAGCCTCCAATTGAGCGTAAAGTCAAGCTGAAGCCCAAGCTCCATCGTCCAGCCTGGTGTAAGTGTGACTGCTGTGCTCCGTCCTCTCTCCCGCAGGAGGAGCTGTGCTGCAGGCAGAGTGATGGTGCCTGCATCACCTCATCTCCTCTGTTTGGGCAGCTGGTGTTACATCGCCCCCTGCTGGAGGCTGTACTTCTGTACCGGGACCCCCTGTCTCCTCCCACTGGTCGAGGCCAGACCAAAACCCTGAGACACTGTGCCTACAGACAGTACATCAGCTGGAGGTTTGGGGTCCCACCTAACGGCACCCACCCTGCCATCCCTAGCTGCTGCGTGTGGAGGGTCAGGGAGCAGTACCCAAGCCCAGACGGACAGAACAGTGGCTTTGCAGGGACCTCCCATTGACTGACCCACTAACAGCGTTTCTATGTTAAACCAGCCTTGGAGAGCCAAAAACTGGCTCAACACGGCAGCTTGTCTTCAGTCAGGAGAGGAGTGGAAAAACCTGTGAATCTGCATTTTCAAAAATCATTTGGCTGTAAAAATAAAAATGTTGATGAAACTTTTTTAGCTTGTTTCTTTAAGCAGATTTTTGCCTTTATAGGGCAGAAATATTATTTTTAACATCAACAACAGGCTCAGACAAAGGATTCCTCCTGCTAGGAGTGTTTGCATCCATCATATTAAACATCAGGAGTTTTGTTCTTACATGGGAGAGAAAAACAGCATTTAAGGAAAAACTAAAACCCCAAACAGGTCAGGAAAATCTGATGCCTAACAGCACTCCCACCTGCACCGCTCACAGAGTTATGAGTTATGTGCTGGAACTATTTCCTGTTGAATAAAAGTTGGGTATGAGGACTGCACAAGATCAGTCAACACAGCAAAGTGGCCAGGGTTGGTCCAATTGCACCTGAACAGAGACCAAAATCTGTATCTGGCAAACAACACTGAAGCTGGTGACACTGCACAGAGGTGCTGGGCAGATGGAGAGACTATTTGTCAGGAAATGGCTCCAGCATGTAGCGGCCCATAAAACCACAAACAGTTGTACTTTGTTTAAAACAACCAAGGTATGAGATGATCAGTTTGGAGGTGTTAGTGGGTGTATTGTTGAGTTGTTTCCCTCTGCTTCCAGCTAAGCTAAGATAACCACATCCTGATTTCAGCACCATACTTTCCAAGAATTTGGATGATAAATGTGAGGGTGCAGAGGGGAAGCAGCTGGTCTGGCTCTGTCCACTCACCACCACCTTTAAGGCTCAGTAATTAACATAATCAATGTTGTATCATATTAAATCTGAACAAAAACTGAAGTGTATAAACCAAAAATAAAATCTGTTTTACTGTGAGATTATGAGCCAGACTGCAATGTGGGACCAGTGACCTAAGAAAGTAAAAACAATTAACCTTCCACCAAACAGCAAATTTACATGTTTACATTAAATAAGCAAGATGTAAATTGTTCATCTGTGAGATTCAGAGATGCTGCTAGTTTGATTTGTTACCTTTGTTCAGAGCCAGGCTAGCAGTTTTCCTCTGTTTCCAGTCTTTATGCTAAGCTAAGCTAACTGGCTCCTGTAGCTTCATACAGACCTGGATATCTTATAAATCTTCTGATTTCACTCTCAGCAGGGATGATTACTGAGTCTCATTGTCTAGTGGGTTTTAGAGATGTGTGGATGGTACCAAAGCTCTGCAGCTTGTTTCACTCCAGGGAAAAGCACCGTATTGTTAGGTATTTTTAGTCAGATAGATATTGGATAGATACTTTATGTATTAGAAATGTTTAGTGGAGATAGGATGTCTAGTTAGACTGTTAAATGCTTAGTCATGCTTATGAGTTTCTACAGGGTACATCTGGTCAAGGATAACTAGAGAGAAGAGTTGATGACTGTCAGCAGACAGGGTGTTTAATATTATTATTATGATGTGTATAACTGTAGCCTTAGCCATAATATGTTCTTATGTTTAATATCACGACATGTTACTAGAAGTCTGTGAGAATGTTTTTAGTTACACACCACTTAATCAACAGACACACACGCACATTGATTTCCTTCATGTTTTGACTACTGCTATGACCAGCTGCAAAGCTGGCAACAGAGACGTCTCGGTTGACGTTTCTGTGTAGTATGGGGCTAGCCCAACTGAGGTGATATAATGTATAGGCCTGGTGGGTTCAGGGTCTTTCATCTTACATCTGCCTGCATGCAGGTTGGAGGTGCAAGATGCCTGAGCGTGTAATGTTAATTTTTACCTGTGTTCATGGAATAAATCAGCACTGTTTTGTAGTTACTTGGACTGCCTCGTCTCTCAGAGTCAGTATGGTAAAAAGTACCGGGTACAACAGTATCAGCACAGCGTCAAATGAAGGAAACCACTATGACATCTGAAGTTTCAAATGTCACGGGTGCTTCAGTGATTGTTTTCATGGTTTTGCAGCTAACATCACTGTATGTCACTGTTCTTGCTTTGATGGGGCCCCAGAGCTTCATGAGGCTTCATGCGCCCACCACTAGTAGGTCTGCTTTTTATCACAATCTTTCCCATCATGCAGTGCACTCACTGTTTACTTGTTTCTAACAGATGATGAATGGGGGTGTGCTGGATGGTGTCTGGTGTGAGACTGGTTTTGGAGCTTCAGTTCCTGGGATTATACAGCTAGATTCCAAGTCCGGCTCAAAGCGATCAAGCAGCTGTGAAAACACAACAGATGGTCCAAAATAAGTAAAAACATCTGCAGACAAAGATAAGAAGCTTCATTTATCTTTATCTGCACATCGGTTTGAGTGTGACAGCAGGAGGCGGTGGTCACACACCAGCCATAGTCCCGGCTCTATGTGAAACAACCCACCTTTGTGTTACACAGACCTGAACTACTTTGTACCATGTTCATACTGTAAGTTACCAGATAAATGTACTAGAGTAAAAATACATAAATTCATCTGAAATGTATTTACACAAACTTAAACTACTCATGTTCAGCCCAAGTATTTCAAACTTCAGCAATAAGATCTGGGAATGTGTTCACTTTTGATTTATTCCAAGAAGATGAATGTATTTTTCAGCTTTAATAAAGAGCCATACACAGTCCGACACTTCCTCTGTCAAATCCAGCACAATAACACTTGGAGTAATATAAGCTGTCTGCACTACAGGCCATTCTTCAGGTGGCCTAGTTGACATTTACAAGCACTTTAAACCTTTCACTTTCCCAATTCTGGCTCCAGACTGTGGCCATTGTTTTTATAAATGGAGCATTTGAATAAAATAAGGGCTCTTTGTTAAACAGCTCCAGGCCTGAAATAGCTCCTGACAACTTGTAGCAGCTGCAGACATCCCTGCTTCCTCCCATTACTCATCCCCTGACCCCTCACTGCTGCTTTTGAACACAGGTACAGAATTCTCTCTCTGTTAAATGTTTTCCAGTTGTGTCTTTAGAAGTGACTGTGCAATTCAGACAAGTAAAGACAATGGCTGACTCCACAGAAGGGCTAACCACCAGGTTAAAGACTACACAGTAGAGTAAAAATAAATAATGATTTGCATTTGATTGGCTTTATTGTAGCAGATCAGATCCTAAAATATGCCCAGGTCACCCCTGGTAGTTATAAGCATGTGAATGGGAAGAAGATAAACATGCCTCTTTTGATTTCATACTGTGGTTCTTGTATAAAAAAGATGGCATTATTTAGTGCTAGTGAGCTCTGGAGGTGCTCGTTATTTGGCCCACAATCTTGCTCTCCGTTTCCCGTCTTTATGCTAAGCTAAGATAACCAGTGGCTGGTGATAGGATCTCTTCACTTAACTCTGGGCAAGAATGGTAAACTATGTTTTAGAGCTGAGCTCTTTCAGTTTCCTGATGACCTCCATGACGCTAAACATGTTTCTGGCTGCAGCCTGGGTCAACCTGCAACAAGTAATTACAGAGCTAAACAGCAGTAGTAAGTCACTGCTGTGCCACATTCTGTGACAAATCAGCTATTTGTTTGTCTCGGTATCCTCCCTCCTGTCCCTGATTGACATCCTCACATGAAATGTGATATTTGTGATATTATAGATAAAATTAATGGCACCAGGCCAACCCTTTTCCCATTTGTCCTCCATAAAAAATATACTGTAAGTTCCCCCCTTGAGCTGATTGGACAGTACTGGACTCCTGATCCAAAGTCAACAAGCCAGAGAGACGCAACACCCCCAATAACACAAACAACATTATATCAGAACAAGTATTCGTGGCTCAGGGAAACTATTTGGAGAGACATCATTGAACAAAACTACAACAATGCATTTTCATGTTTATGTTTATTCTTTTCCTAAAAGTTGATTTTGACTGAGAGCAGAGATTGGAAATGTCCCTGTGGATTCCCTGTCACAGATGTAAATAAAAAGGTATAACAATTAGATCCATCACCATACGGCACATAATGTAGAATTAAAATAATATATGTTCATTGGACTGATGAGATTTAAAGTTACTTCATGAAAATATGTTTTAAAGGTCTGGTTAGCACAGAGTATCGCCTCTGTGGTACTCAGAGATTTAACGAACTGGATAATAGAGTAAAACCAGCCTGGTTAGCAGAGTGAGCATGCAACATGAGAACCTCACCAAACCAGGTGTAGCTTGAAATAAACTGGAAGTGTCATTAGTGAATCTGATTCCATCAGACTTTTCAGGATTTCAGCAACTTTAATAAGGCTAGTGGTGTGTCCCAGATTCATACTTTGTAATAGTTCTTTTTAAAAACGTAACAGTGATTTGTAATTTTCCTTTTTACCTTATTCAACAGGAACATGGGGAAGAGATGTGTAATAATTGTCCCCCAACCAGGAGTGGAACCGTGGATGTTGTATTTGACATCTGAGCATTTGCTTTGAATTATTTTAATGATTCAATTTTTTAAAATATATTTTGGGTTTGAGTGTTGGTTGGACAAAACAGGCAGTGAAGGTCTCACTTTGGGACATTGTGATGCACATTTCTCACTGTAGTCTGAATTTTTGCAAATCAAATCAATCAATCAGTGAAGGAAACAATCAGCAAATTAACCCATGATGAAAATAATAATGAGATGCATGCATTCCTCTTATATAGTAATTAGAAACTGTTTTCAATTCAACCAGTAAAATGATACTATAGAATATAATAGTGGAAAACACACAGCACTGAGTACTTTTACTTTTGGAAGCTGAGGCCATTACATATTTGGCATTTTTACATAAACTGTGACTCAAATAACTGTTCAGAAATATTCCATTTTCTATCAGTTGACTAATCATTTAAACTCTGACTGCAGGCCTACATAGGGTACTGTTGGTTGTTTAAACAATAACAAAGCTTTTTTTTGTACTCTTTAAAACTGTACCGAGTAGGCTATATGTACCAAGTTAAAGTCTACCAGTGAATAAAATGTAAAGGCCCTGGTGACCTTCTTCTCCTTTAAGCTTTTCCCGTTAGGGGTCGCCACAGCAAATCATCTGTTTCCACCTAACTCTATCCTCTGCATCCTCTACTCACACCAATTAACTTCATGTCCTAACATCCTTCTACCAATATAACCACTATCCCTCCTCTGCACATGTCCAAACCATCTCAATCTGGCCTCTCTGACCTTGTCCCCAAAACAGCCGGCCTGAGCTGTCCCTCTGATGTGCTCATTCCTAATCCTGTCCATCCTGGTCATTCCTAAAGAGAACCTCAACATCCTCATCTCTGCATAACTGGTTTCACTACTGTCTTGTACACATTTCCTTTGATTCTTGCTGCCACTCCTTCTATGGATTAATTTAATGTTGTCTTGTTGTTAGCGAAAGGTTAAAGGTCATCCAGGCGTCAGAAGTGGAGTGTTAGCGATTTACAGAAAATGTTCAAGTCAGTTCTGTTCCACGTGGTCGACGCCAGCAAGCAGAATGAAATGACACGATAAAAACACCAGGACAGAGTGGTTTTAAAAGTTAAGCAGAAGAAACACCCCGAGGCCTAAATCCTGCTTTACAAAGTGGATTTCATGGCTCAGAGTTTATCCGAGACACTTCACTCCTAAAGGTAAGTGTAAACCATGTTATAGGTTTGATTTGGGCTTTGGCTGTGCTGCTGGACTGTGTTCCTGACGGTAAACACGCTACTGTTGCTTGCTGGGGCTAAGCTAATGTAGCGGACGGTGTTTTCGGATGTTCCACATTAGCATTGTGTACCATGCGGCTGCCATGTTGGTACGGGTCTTCTTCTTCTTCGTCTTGTTCTTCTACCACCACCACCATTACTACTACTACATCTGCTGTTTCATGGCGATTGGCAACCAATATGGGGCTGCTGCGCCTCGTTACGCCAGTGTGTGTGACAGCGGAGATTTATCCATAATTAAAATGGTCACAACTCACAGAATGTACAGTCGATTTTCTAGCGGTTGTGGATGTTGCCTTTGTAGAAGTGGAGGATTGGGACTGTGTACAGGTGCATGCTGAAACAGTTCAGCAGTATTTTAATACATTCATCTTTATGACTGATACGTGAGGTGATGAGTGCCGCCTTCTTGACCTGGCGTTGGTCCTGTATGCTGGTTCTGACCAGTTAGGAACCAGTACTAGTCCTAAATACCCAACCCTAATAGACGTGCACTCTTCCATGCAAACACACTGTACATCCATGCACCAGATATGACCACAGGCTGACATGTATGGTGGTTGCAGACTTACTCAAAAGTCAGAAAAACAAAGACTGCCATCAAACACACACACACACACACACCTACACCTCTTGATGGTGCACACTTCAGTTGATTGAGAAATTACTCATATGTTTGTGGGTGTGTGTCTTTCATGCTCCCATTGTCCTCATTTGCAACCCTGAGATCAGCTCAAGAGACCGTGAGTAGTATTAAAAGCTGAACCTAGCACTCCTCTGCCAGCTCTGTGTGTGTTTTGGCGTGTTGCTTGCTGTTAGTGGACACCCTCGTGCTGAGTTAAATGTGGGAGTCTTTCCAGGGAGCCTTTAGCTGAAGCGCCTGTTTGGAAAAGAGTTTAACCTTCAGGGAGCCTCTAATCTGCAGCCCCCCATTTAAACAGTGGAATGTAATTATGATTATTAAGTTATTATAATGGTTGGCTGAGCAGTTTGCAGCACACTGGGCCTCCTGAGGTGGAGCACTATTCATGATTAAATCAAATACAGCGGATGCTTTTATGTAAATTGACAGAATTCATTGTACTTTTGCTTGATAAATTCTTAAAGGTGCGTTAACTCACTGGTGTTACCTGAATGTGAGACAGGAGCACTCCTCCTAACCTTGGCTAGGAGTTTTATTTTCTATCACGGCTGGTTGTTTTAGCTGTAGCATTCCTTAGGTAATAGATTAAAAATAACAAGAAAACACTCTGCAAGCATTTTCCCAATCCCCAGACACTGCTCTTATTGTAAGTTTCCTGAATGGTTTTAAATAACAAGCGACAATAGCAGCAGTGACTATCCCAGGAACGATCCTCAGGCCTGGCAGCATCGTGTGGAGTGTCTTCACCTGAACGTCCTCTGCTGCAGGATGTAAAGGATTAAAAGAAGTGATTTGGAAAACAGATGAATAGGATGCAGGTGATCTTGTCTTCCCCTTCCTGTTGTTGACCTGACGTCTTCCGAGTGTTCTGCTGCGTCCTCCTGTAGTGGCATGTTGTGCATCCGTGACCTGTGTTTGTAAGTCTCTTCACAGTGAGGGCACTGTATTGGCAGTGCACACTTGCAGTACACAAGCTCATTCCCTGTGGCACAAGGCAGGTTCTCCCCTGATGAACCATGTGCCTCAGCATAATGCAGTCTGACAGGAGCTCTCGAGGGCCATGATTTGTCTGGGGGGCAAAGGAGCAGGTGGCAGAAAATGAGGCAGAAATACTTGATAGGGAACTTATGAACACATGAATGATGTATGAGCTTCTGAATTATATATGTACCCGTTGAGTTGTGAACAGAATTGACCAGTATTCAATATATTTTGCCATAGCTGCAGTGAAAGCTGCTGGCCAGCCCGTATAAGGCAACTGTAAAGGAACAATCCGTAATCTGAATGTAAGCAAAAGAGCTGCCAAAGCGACAGCGGCATCTTTCCCCCTTTATAGGAGCACTAGTAAACAGTTCAACTGTTGTGATGTTAAAGATTTAGTTTCACTGTAACCACATATTATGAGACATTGGCCAGTGTGTGTGTATTCACACACTGTGCTTATACAGACCACAGCTCACTGCGTTGTTTGTTACATATTACAGTCAAATCTTAACCAATGGATAATTTTCAATTGTAACAGCAGATTAAAACATAAATCTTCATGTCCCTTAACTTTCCTAGTGTTGTTGTCCAGCTACAGCTTCGATCGTGGATAAAGAAGAGTGACCTGTTTACTTGGGTCCGTGAGCTGACGTGGTGTTAACGTGTTTTACAAGATGTCAGACAACTGGCTGTTTGTTCAGCCGCCTCGACGTTCAGCCTCATAACTCGGGCAGATGTGGCACCTCTGACCTTTGACCTGTAAAGCGAAGGCACAGATGTAAACATGGCTAATGGCCTTCTGTCCACCCCAGATTTCACCCTATGGTAACAAAAACCAGTGTCTGAATGGTGCCAGTGTTCCCCACTGACAGCCGGCCTGGAAGGGAAACATGCTCTCACCATGACCCCCAGTTCTTTCTAAACCTAATGTCACGGGGGATATTTAGCTTGATGTGGTGAATCAGCAGACAACACAGTTTGGTACTGATACATACCTGTGGGGATAGGAGAGTCCCACAGCAGCAACAAGTGACTGAGTAAATCACATAAACATATACAGTACAAGGTTATAAAGCTTTTATGTAAACGTATGCAGCTAGATTCCAGCTGTAGCAATATTTTGGTCATCCGTGGTCAGACAGGGTCTTACCCTTCAGTATAGCCTTTGTATTTTTGTGTGTGTCTGCCTACCTGCCTGTCTGGAGGTTGTGGTGGGACCTGGAGGTCTATATCATGGCTCCAGCTCTGCCATCATCCCTGAAAACCTGAAAAACAGGTAAAAGGCGCTTTTGGACCAGAGGAACTTTTTCATAGTTCTTTGAACTGTTGGAAAAAGTACCTCCTGTTTTGTGTGTCCACACTAAACTATTCTGGTTCTTAGAATGCAGTCTTGATGGACCGTTTTAGCTCCTGCTTCAGTCTCTGCAGAATGTTAGTGGCTCCTTATGTGATCAGCAGGCCCAAACAGAATCAGCGCATGCAGAATTCAGACAACACCTCTGCAGGTTTTCCGCAGATTTTGTAAAGAAGGTAGACACACAGAATGTGTGCATGTTTGCCCCCTCCTGCATGTGGGCAGCAGTTTTGTGATGTTGAGACTGTTTTGTGTCATTTTCCAAGCCAAGGATCCAACATTCCTACCTACTTCCCACCTTGACTGGCTGGTTGCACGTCTCTGTCCGGCGCTTCTTTTTAATTCCTTACATAACAATCTGTGACACAGGTGGACTTTCCAACAAATGTTCACACTTTGAGTGTCTCTCAGATTTAAAAGTTCATAAAGTAATTTTTTTTTCACCCTGCTCAAGATTATTTTAGGCTGCTTAAATGCATTTTTGTGCTTATTTATGTTACAAAAAATAAGTGTTAGCTAAATGAATATTTTCTTTTATATTACAAGCAAAAAAATCTCTCAGCACATCTCTTACAGATTTCCATCCTGAATAAAAGCAGAAAACTGTAAAATTTTGTTTGGGTTTGGTAATTAGCAACATATAAAGAATATTCCTGTTGGTAAAGTAAGGTTGAGCTTGTTGGCTAAACCCTGACCGGCTGTCGGCTTAGCATTATGTGACTTCAGCTGCTGGTGGTGTGAATGCAAACGGAAAAAAGTATGTAGTTCTCAGGGGAGGTACATAGGTGCATTGCACAAGCCAGGGTGGGATACATATGTGTTTATGTGGATAATCACCTTTATTGGCCAAGTGTGTCGCATACGAGGCAGCCATCTACAGCACCAACTCAACCAATGGCTCTAACCATCGGGGGCAACTTGGGGGTTCAGTGTCTTGCCCAAGGACACTTCGACATGTGGACTGCAGGCACCGAGATTTGAACCTCCAACCCTCTGGTTGGGAGACGACTACTCTGCCCACTGAACCACAGTCGCCTCCATGTGGACATGGCAGGTGTCGTCTGGCTCAGTCTTCTTCCAGTCGTCCCTTTTTCTTTTGAACCTTTACCGGCTCAATTTTTGTTCCCTGCTCTTCCACCCTTTCCACCTCTCTCCTTCGATCACACACTGGTCGCTTCGTTCTTCTCTGGTGTGTGTGCACATTCCCCACTGTGTCTCTGGACACGTGTCTGTTGCCATGTTGTTGAATTTGCACAAGCACAGTTCATATGTAAGGGAAGTGTCTGCTGGGGAGGGGGTGGGTGTGTGTGTGCACGTGGGTGGGCGTAAATGGTCTCTGTGGATATGGAAAGCTGCTGACCCCTTACTGGCTAAGAGATGTGGAGGGGGAGGGGTTTCCTTTGAGGAGCGGCGTGCAGGTCCACGGAGACTATGCAGAGACATGAGTACAGATATAGTAACAGTGAGGAAGAGGAGGATTAGAGCAGAGAAGTGAAGTTACGTTTTAACAGGAGCAGGACTGTAATGGGGGTTGTTTAGTATAGAAAATGGCTGACCTCGTCCTTTAGGTGTTCAGCAGTCTGTGCTACAGTAGCTTTTCTGTGGGATCGGACCAGACGGGCTTCCCTTCACTCCACAAGCTCATCAGTGAGCCTTGAGTGCCCATGACCCTGTCGCTCACTCACCAGTTGTCCTTCCTTGGACCAATTTTGCGAGGTACTGACCACCTCACAGACCCGCCGGTTTGGAGAGGCTCTGACCCAGTTGTCAAACCATCACACTGTGGACCTTGTCAGAGTCACTCAGATCCTGACACCACCCATTTTTCCAGCTTCCACCACATCAACCTTAATAACTGACTGTTCACTTGCTGCTTAACGTAGCCCGCTCCTTGACAGGTGCCACTGAAACAAGAGAATCGCCTCCTGGTTTTAATGTTGTGGCTGATCGGTGGATCTATAAAATCTAATACATTATTAACAACAACTAATGGATAATCAGTTATCATTGGCATTAACTTTGATCTCTAGGCTCTGGTGAATAAATCAAACACAGTGTTAACTTCTTCTAAAAAGGTTTTCCTACAGTGACAGTATTAGTGGGGAAAAATGGGAGGTACAGTAGAAAAGACAGAAAAATATCTTGTAGCGGAAGAGGAGGGGAGTCCCTGAGTGTGTGTGAAAGAGGGAAAAAAGTGGAACAGCTTTGCAAATGAAAGCCAGGAAAGAGGGAAAAACTGTGTGTGAGAGAGAGGGGAGGGATACACAAGAGTGTGTGTGAGAGCCAAGGGGAGGAGAGGGAGGCAGCAGTGGCTGTGCTGCATCATCCCTGTACTGCCAGTACAGCAGAGAGGAGAGGCCGTTTACTGAACTCTGTCTCTCACACACATTCATGCATACACACTCTGACTTCACACTCACACTGGAAGTCAGCCAGCTGCCTCACATGAAGCTCGACAGAGCCGAGATCCTGCTGACTTTATCCATCACCTTTGGATGTTCGCCTGCTTTCACTCAGCTCTCTCTAGGACTCTTTCTGCTCGAGATGCTCTGTGAGTCAACAGACCGTGGATGACCCGATGCTGAGTGTTTGGGCTGTCCTTATTTTGTTTGGTGAAGCAGCTGTTACTGTTACTGCATGCAGGAGTATTAACATCGGAGCTGCCCGCAATTTTGGAAGTGTTTTTCTCTGCCTTGTCCTTTGCCGGCACTCGAAGAGTGGAAGTGGATGTCTGTTTTTTTGGTGCCAGAGTAGAGTGCTTACCTTGGGATCTGAAGTTGAGGGGGTTATGATAAACTGCTGTGAGGGTAGGACACTTTGCACTGCAGCATCAGGCTGGCATCTCTTGTTCTGCGTTGGGGATTTTTTTGGCTCTTGAGGTTGCACACACACATTTCACAGCCAGCAGCAGCAGAGTGTGGCTGCATTTTGTGTGCACTGATGGGTCTTTAAGGACGGGCTCCCTGCCTGCTGAGGGAGAATAGATGCAGATTTAGGGAAAACAGGAGGCACTCTTTGTTTGTGGAGACGAAGACGGGGCAAACAACTTCAGCAGTGATAAAGAGAGTTGATCACAGAATAATGGCTGTGTTGAACTGAACCCACGCCCTCCTCTTCTCATCCCCTCCCGTCTAAACATGAACTCTTCCTCTGATGCGAACCAAAGCGGCTCTCCCCTGTTCTGCCTGCTGGGTGCTGTGGGTTACTCCCATAGCCTGGATACCTGTGTACTGGAGGTGGCTGTCATCCTCTTCCTCACTGTGCTCATCATTACTGGCAACCTGGTGGTGATCTTTGTCTTCCATTGTGCCCCGCTGCTGCATCACCACACCACCAGCCACTTCATCCAGACTATGGCCTATGCCGACCTGTTGGTGGGCGTCAGCTGCCTGGTCCCCTCACTGTCCCTCCTCCATTACCTCCGAAGCCTGAGCGAGGAGCTAACCTGTAAGGTGTTTGGCTACATGGTTTCTGTGCTGAAGAGTGTCTCCATGGCCTCGCTGGCATGCATCAGTGTGGACCGCTACATCGCCATCACCCGCCCGCTGTCATATGGCACGCTGGTGACACCATGCCGGCTGAGGGTGTGCATTATCCTCATCTGGGTTTACTCTGCTTTGATATTCCTGCCTTCCTTCTTCGGGTGGGGGAAGCCGGGTTACCATGGGGACATATTTCAGTGGTGCGCGGTCTCCTGGAAAACGAAGCCGGGGTTCAGCACCTTCATTGTAGCGCTGCTCTATGCACCAGCAGCACTCACCGTCTGCTTTACCTATGGCAGTATATTCAGGATCTGCCGGCAACACACGAGGGAGATCTCCCAGCGCCATGCTCGCTTCAGCGCGCAGATGGAGGGTGATAAAGGTGAACGTGGGGAGCGGTGTGAGGGCTGCCCAGACAAACACTATGCCGTGGTGCTGTTCCGCATCACCAGTGTCTTTTATGTGCTATGGATGCCCTACATCCTCTACTTCCTCCTGGAGAGCGCTGGGTTGTACCACCACAATGTGGCGTCCTTCCTTACAACATGGTTGGCAATTAGCAACAGCTTCTGTAACTGTCTCATCTACAGTCTCTCCAACAGCGTCTTCCGAAAAGGTCTCGGCCGCCTCTTTAGCCCATTGATTCCTTCCTGCCTCAGCTGCACAGGCGCCAAAAAGGTTCCGGCTCCTGTCGGCCCGCATCCAGACCCTCGATGCCAAGTATAAACCCTGGATTCAGTTTGGTCACTTTGGAGGTGTCCTCCTCCTGTGTGGGTTTTGCTCTCAGCTGCTTAACATGACACAGGTGTTTCTGGTCCCACAGTGAATATGATGAGGACCCCCTGCACGGAGCACGGAAAGGTGCCCGTGCAGACGCTGGTCAGCCGTCTCAAAGGCTGATTTTGTGGAAATCTGAAATTTCCTCTGGGTCTTTCTCAAATGCTCTTCTGTGGGGTGCTGCTATTTGATGGCTGCAAGCTGATGACACAGAGTAAAGACATTTGAAGAAAGTGGACTGCAGGAAGAAGATTGATGTGTGTCAGTTTGAAGGGTTTAATGAGCGCTCTTGGCTGCACTGACTTACAAACACCCAGATGCAAAAAAGGAAAGCACAGCGCGACCTTTGCTGTGTAATCCCGTGAAATGCAAAAAATGTTTGAAGTTCTTCCGAGCCTGACTGAACAGTCAGCAAACCGTCTTCTTTCTTTCAGGTTGAATTAGGTGTTGCAAAAAATGTTGGACACTTGAAACAAGTACCGATTTCTTTTCTTTAGGGAACTCCAGATGCTAATGACTTAATGATTGTGTGAAAAATCATTTGCTAAGTAATCACCTGTGATTCAGCCTTGTATGAATTAAAAATGTGTATCAAATGGACTTTGAGCTCATTTCACCAAGAGAAGACTGAGGTTTCTGTCTTTTATCAGAAGGACTTTTTTCTTTCGAGGTGGGCAGCTCCAAGTATGTTTACACAGCCTTGGGTTTCACATGAAAATTAGCTTTACTTTCTAAGGTGACTCCTGGGCTGAGAAGACTTCTTGCCAGTAGCGAATGGTGCGTCCTCATCAGAGACGACTTGTATTTATTTTAGGTTTATCAGCACTTCTTTAAGTCTCTGGGCTGGTAAATCACGTAGTGTCATGAGATAATCACCCTCTGACTCGTGCAGTCGAGGTCAGTGTTGATAGTGAATCTGCAGTCTCGCGCTGCTTTGGTGCAGAGACTAACTTCATTGTAATGTGTAGCTTCACTGCTTGCTCGTGCATCGTCTTAGCCCTCCAGCAGCTGCTAGCTGTTTGGATCAGTGTAAAGTGGACAAACAGAGCTATGGCTGCTCTTCACGAGCCCGACCTCAAAGTGAAGAGGGTCAAAGCACTTTACTGAGAACCAGTGAGAGGTTGTGGCTTTCTGGCTTTATGTAAATACACTGAAGTTTAAATATTTCAACGGTGGCTAACTGGGCCCCTTAGGGTTTTTTTTTGCCATATCTCTAGGATTATAAGTGATTTTGTGATATGTGTTTAAAGATGATTTATTTGTGACAGCCAGTAGGTCTGACATGCTGCACTTGAGACTGAACCTGTTTTTTACGGTGCTGACATGTTTCTTACTACGTATACAGTTTGAAGATTTAAGATTTAACAGGTAGAGTTTGGTTTTAAAGTCACAGTGAAATTTCTGAAAGCGTCTTGCTTCTGAATGTCACATGATTGTGGTTTAAAAAAGGCAAAGGGAACAGAGAGAAACTGAATGGGTAGTTTTCAGAAAGATTGTGCTGTAACAGTGTGTGGCCAAAAGTGTTTGGACACTCTTTGTCTGGGCTTCATGGTTTGGCCAGGCTGGTTCCAGTAAAAATACATCTTAAATGGCATTTTGAGAAGATTATTCCCCAAATGTAAAATGCAGTAACGGCATATTTGGTCAAAATTTAAACATGTTACCACTCCAAACGGTCCACAGTTTGTGTCCATGAGTGTGGTAACCTCCTTGGTTTATCTAATGTTTACTCCAATAAACACTGTTGTAAATGCACCAGACATAGCCAAGATGCTAATGAACCTGCTGCCCCAGTCATCGAGAAGCAGCCAGCTATATTCAGCCATGACAGACAAAACCATGTTTTATGTCAGTGTAAGTTTGAAAGCTGCAGTTGCTATGATGTTGCCAGTGTCTTGGCATTTTTCCCAAGTAGACACAAATGTGCATTTTGACCCCAGGGATTCAGAGGTCAGACTAAGATCAGGGCTCAGGGATTTTACTGGAGGACATTTCCAGTCACACCAGCTGCTGCCAGGGAGATCTAAACTCCCACAGACCCTGGTGCCCTCACCACGTTCTATTTGTGTAACATTTTCTATGTAGCAGTATGTGTACGTGCACTGTATCTGCTATGGAAATGTAACTTCCTGCACAGTGTTCACTTGTTCGGTCCCTTCTTGATTTGACGTGGACAGACTGTCTACATGATTTCTGGTTCAGTGTGGACCAGTGTAGCTGTCTCATGATGCTACTGAGAGCAAGTCACTGACTGAACTCCTTGTCTTAGTATCTTACTGTTGTGTAACACAGATGGTTTATTATGTGTTTTTAATGAGGGCATAGCTTTCCTGTTTGCTACGGTTCACATCAGAAACCCTCCTGGCCTGCCTGTGGTCTTCTCCTGCCACTGTGGGGGCAAAATGACGCACATCTGTAAAGATTTATACATTTATAAGGAGCTTAAAACGGTGACGACCGTTTGATATGAAGTTACACAATCAGTGCTTGATAGATTCCAGGAGCTGAAGCATCAAAAGTCATTTGTAGTTGTGCTTTATTTTTCCTTGATGCTGCTCAACGCTGGGAGTCAGTGCAATACAAGTGTTTTAACCTCCAAACCATGACAAATAACTAATAGTAGAACAATCTGAAAGAGAAGGGCTTTAATTATCTTAGGTCTGACTGAGCTGCTTGTTTTTCAGCATGAATAAGGTCCTTTGGAAATCTGCAGATTATTGTTGAAGTGTCATCATCTGATTAAAGTGAGATGTTCTGAGTACTGTCTTTTGGATTGATTTTATTCCACCAAAAAAACAGAAGATATTCAATTTACTGTGGTTTAGACAGAGAAAAGCAGAAAGTTTGTATATTTGAGGACATAAAAACTGCACTTTTCCTTGAAGAATGGCTTATGAGAAAAGCTGCAGATTCTTCTGTTGATCACTTCCTGTTTTTTGTTCTCGAGCCTTTTCCTGCTCGGCTATTTCAAACATTTGATCTGTGATCTTTAGGCTGGCGGCGGACGATTACTAATCTCCTCATTACTTTATTGATAAAAAAAAAGTGGTGGTCCTCAAATGTTTTGTCTGACCAACACTTCAAAACACAATATATTCAGTTTACAATGATATAAAACAGAGAAAACCAACATGTTGGAGAAACTGACATTTTGTAATTTTTGCTTAAAAAATTACTGAAACATTTGATTTATTATGCCAGAAGTTTGTGACAGCCAGTAGGTCTGACATGCTTGCAGATGAGTTTTCTGACCATGGACTAATGGATGAATTGACTAGTGTCAGCCCAGAACATTAATCCAAGCCTCCTTCTAAATGATGAAGCAGTGTTTCACTCATATTTTTCTGACTTTGCGTCTCAAGTGTGTTTTTCTGATGACTTTCTGCAAACCAAATGGAGGCTCTTTCCAGGTCCTCTTCACAGGCGTTAGGCTGCGTGGCCCACACAGATCCCACAAAGCCTTTCCTCTCACAACTTTGATCCCCTGATTTAAAAACACGTTAAGTCAAAGTTTAAGTTTTTATTTTCCTGTGGGATAATCATGATGTTGCCAGACTCGGACCACAGTCAAGAGTTACACAGAGCCTTGATCCCCCAGGGGGCAGTGCCCGTTCACAGAGACCAGCAGCGCTAAATTTGGACCAAGACTGAGAGCAGAAAGGGGGCGAAGGGGGTTAGAACTGGGTGAGATTTTACATATTGAGCTTGGAACGGTCTGGCTCAGCTTTTCCATACCCGTGTCATTTCCAACGTGACATCCGATAAATGTGACATCTGCTGGCACGAAACTACAACTCTCTGCTGAATGTTCAAACCTGTATTCATCAGATGCTGTGTGTTTATGGAGCACTCAGTGATGAAGGTAGTGGTGCTGAAATCCATCGGAATAAAAACCAAAATAAAGGCCTATAGCAGCATAGCTAGGGGAAGGCTCAGGGTCACCTGATCCAGCCCTAACTATAAGCTTTATCAAAAAGGAACGTCTTAAGTCTAATCTTAAAGGTAGAGAGGGTGTCCACCTCCTGAACCGAGACTGGAAGTTGGTTCCATAGGATAGGAGCTTGATAGCTAAAGGCTCTGCCTCCCATTCTGCTTCTGTAATTTATGTCCAATAACAAACTTTCTAACAAGTTAATTTGTTAATTTGTTTGCCTGAATGAAAACATTGTATCTGAAGCAAATTTAAAACTCTTTTAACCAGTGTTTCTTAATGTTAAATGAAGTTGTATTAAACATTCACAAGCAATGAAAACTTCCTGTAGTGTTGCAGGTTTATACCTCATGCTAGTCAGCAGTGGAAAGTACTGTACTTAAATACAGTATTAGGTATGTCCTGCTACTTCATACTGTGACTTCACTCCATGCCAGAGACCAACCGTGTACTTTTTACTGCACTACATGTACCTGATAACTTCAGGTCCAGAATCAGATGAATCAAACCAAACCCAGTAGAACCATCAGACTCTATTGATCCCAGTGGGAAATCCACCAGCTACCCAGCAGGATGGAAAGTACTTCACAGTATAAGTATATAAGGTAGTTACCATCAGCTCCACCTTTACCAGCTGCAGCACAATAAGGCAGATATAATTATAATCCAGTAATATCATATATAAATGTGAAATGTGCCATTTTGCTGAATGAGTACTTTAGGTAATAAGTATGTTTTGATGTAAATACTTTTGTACTTTTACCTAAGTAACATTTTGAAAGCAGGACTTTTATTTGTAACAGAGTACTTTGTACAGTGGTATTGCTGCTTTCAGTCAAGGTTCTGAGTAATCCCTGCTGGTATTAATGGTGTTAAGTTCTGTAAATTTATGAAACGTCATATTCCAAAATTCACTTTATCTACAATTGTGCAGAGTCCTGGAGCCATAAACAAGCTAAGTGATGAAGAGACTGATCAACTGATTCCAGCACATCCAGTACAGGAGAGTTCCAGTTCAACCTTTTATGCATCAAATACACATTTTAAAATCATTACCCTCATAGTGAATCAGGAGCTCCATTGTTTGGACTGAGTAGTTTGTTTAACAAAACACAGTAAAATGTAAAAGCATGTTCGGCTGTTACTCCGTTGTGTCAATTAGTAATCAGTATTTCATATCATCTGCTGGCCAGATCTTTTAGGGTTGTAGGTTCAGGTTGAGAATATTCATCATTAATGTTAATAATGATTACTTTAGTAGTTGCCACTAAAAACTGCAGCATTTCTGGCAACAGGCAAATTTTTGTGTTCTAGTTATTACTGACTTTAATTGCTTGCAAACAATAGAAGCCGAACTTCAATAAGGGATTCAGAAATGCTGTCCTGTCAAACGTAATACAAGAACGGACACGTGCTGATGACTGTTTTCAAGAACAGGCGTTTGTATTTCTGCTGCTGTACTTGCAGTAGGAGGCCCCGTAAAGACGTGGCCCTAACCCTAATCCTACCGTTTAACCCTAAATCTAAACACTCAAAAAGGACTTTGAAAGAGTGGGGACTGGAAAACATGTCCCAGTTTTAGGTCTGTGACTCGAGGCAAAAGTACAAGAATGTGCACACACTTCCTTTCCACACGGTGTGCTGTTTTTGTGGCAGACTGGGAGTTGAGGAAATTCATTAATAGCAGCATGATGTAATCTGGGTCTTTGTATTTGTGTGTGTGACCCTGATAACCAGAAATAGAGACAATATAAACAGTGATGATTATCACGGCCAAAGAACACTGTGCTGCCGCTAATTTCACTGCAGCTCCTCAACATCAATAAATCATAAATCATTAAGGCTGCGACAGTATTATGATCAGTGTAAACTTAAAACATCACAGAGCAGAGCACACACACTCTGTACTAAAAATATTTGCACGCTACATCACACTGACCTTTGATTGGCTCTTTAATGGTGTTTTGGTTAGAGACTTATTTAGAAGAAAATTGCAAGGGTGTCTTGTTTGGATTGGTGATATGCTAAGCTGGCTGATACCGCTCTGCTCCGATTAAAGCTTGTTTGCTGAAATATGCCGCCTTTACCCAGCCTCACTTACAAGGCAGAGGAATTTCATGGTTCGATGTTTTGTGGGCTTTAGGTTACTTTAAAGAGAGGAAATAAATCACAACTAGTGCATCTAGTGTTATGTATTTTAGAGCTGTGTAAAGAGCAACAAAACACAGGACAAACTACATGGCATCAGAAGAAGAAGTGGAAAAACAAAAACATCTTAAGCATAAGAACTGCGACACAAGCTGACACCATTTCTTTGGTTTAACTTAAGCATTTTGATAAAGAATCAAAGTTTATAATAATTCCGGAAGTTAGGCACAGTTTCTTTTCCTTTGCGTAAATTTATCATTATAAAAAGAATATCAGTAGCCTTGTCCTGTTTATACTGCAAAACCACTACCTGTCCTTACAGCATTTTAGTCCAAATGGGAGTGAATCAGCTTCAGCAGAACACAGGGACACTGGGTGTGAACTTTTCCATGAGCCTCGTGATGGACAGGACGACACCTGTAACCACAGTAACTGTACACAACAAAGATGGCAACAGCTGTAGCCTCACGATGTTTAAAAGGTATTAATATTAATGCAGAATAAAAATGACAAACTAGGCTAAAACACTTGGACTTTTCAGTGGCTAAAAATAAAAATCATAAGACTAAAATTTGACTAAAACTAATTTACATTTTTGTTAAAAGACTAAATCCAGTTCTGGTGCCAAAATTAACTCTGCTGCTCAACTCCAGGGAATGTTACACCTTATGTTTTTCAGAAACATCAGTTAGTCCTCATCCTAAAAGCTTTTGGTACACATTTACACCAGGACACTTTTAAAACCTTTTTACAGGGCTGTCAGATTTCTGCTAGCTCATAATGCTAACTTTAGCCTAGCTGTAGCTGTAATGATAGTTGGTTGTTGGCTATAATTGAGAAGCTGCTTTTGTCTGAAATCGAGAACCCATTTGTGCATTTTCCTCTGGTTAATCTTCCACCATTAGTGCTGTAACCAGGAGGGATGGGGTTTAGCTCACAGGCAACTGTAAATCAGCTGGACAGAGAAGAATAGTAGGGACTTAGTTGCTGGTTGAGACTTTATCTTGCATTGAATCTGGCAAGTTGATTTGCCTTAACTTAAGAAGATCTGACATTTTTAGCAGTGTTTGGTCTGAGCTGCCCAGGTCCATGCGGTGGGAACCTCGGATACAGAAAGCTAAAACTCCTCAGCTTCCCTCTCTGTGCATTGTCCTCACTTCCTGTCATTCTTCTCTAGCTCACTCACTCACACTCCCTCTTTTTTAAAAAAATGCTTCAGCTGTTTTCTTAAGCTAAAGTTAATATTTTCATTTTAGTGAACTAGAGGTGTTTTAGATCTAGATGTTCTTGTTTAGTGCAGTAAAGGAATTTGCACTTAAACCATGTGATAGGAGGCCACTGTTTATAGGTGGTTTGCTTGTTTACTGCTTTTTTCTGATCTTTTCCTAATCATAACAATCAATCATTAAAAAATAAATTCTGGGGAGCCTCATTGTCTAAGATGCAAATAGTCCAAAGCCCATAGAAATTATTATAGTAGAAGATGATAAAACATCCATGTTTGAGATGTGTGAACCAGCG